TTTATATATATATAGAATTTTATTAATTAATTAATTAATATATAAAATTAAATAATATAGAATTAAATTATATATTGAATTTTATTAATGAATTTTTATAATTTATGTAAATAATTTAATTATTTGGAATTTTATTAATAATTTTATTTTTGTTTCATCGGTGGTTTCACGGTTACTTCCGTTTCACGTTTCGTTCGTTTCACGTTTCGTTCGTTTCACGATTTTCAAATCACCCTGTGATTCTAAAGAAGTTTTCACTTCAAACAAAAAAAAAAGAATTGATATATGTATATAAAAAAAAAAAAAGGATATACTTAGTTAAGAGAATTACGAAGAAGTCGCGCGTTGGTTACGATTTAACACGTCCGTATCGGGTAAAACACGTGATAGGCTCGTGCGCATAAATACATATATCGTGAAAACAAGAAGTAATAGAAGAAGTGTACGCTAGTGGAAAAAGGAAAGAATAAAAGAGAAGAGTGAAGTAAATAGGAGGATCGTTTCGCTTGAGGTAATTTCCCGCAAATGTCCCTCTCAATTCGTTCGTTCGTTCGTTCGTTCGTTCGTTATTATCGTTTTTCAAGTTTTATCGTCGATAAAATATATGCGAACTTGTCTTCTTGCTTCTTGGCTTGAACGAGGGAAGAAGAAGCAACTATTAAAAAAAAAAAAAAAAAAAAACATTGAATCGTTCTTTGACGTACCTAATCGCACTTAATTACAAACGAATATAGGGGAAAAGGGTCGAAAGAAAAGGAAGGGTAAAAATAAAAACAATACTTAAGCATTCAGACAGGTAGAAAGAAGACAAAGTTAAAAAGGAAAGCATAAAAAAGATATGCAGTATAAGAGAGAGAGAGAAAGAAAGACAGAAAAAAATAAAGAAAAAAGAAAGACAAAAAAATTGTCGAGACACGTCGCGCTTTTAGACGGGACTTCGAACAACGCGTTCATTATCAATTAACGCTTACACACTCATACGCACCACCATAGAGACAGAAAACACATATATATATATATATACATGCAGCACACTTTTTCCTGTAGTGTAAGAGTTATCGGTTAATTCCTCTTTTTGAAGCTTTTATTTCGAAAGTGCAGCAGTCGGCCAATGCAATGCTTTTTACGTTGTACAGGTCGAGCTGAGCCGGCCGATCGATTCTCGAAGCATCGCAAGCACATGAGAGAGAGAGAGAGAGAGAGAGAAGGAGAGGGGAGACAGAAACTTCCCTCATCTATTCCCACCGTAAATACATACAACACGTTTATCTATACGTGTGTGTGTGTGTTACGTTTCTATATGTAAATGTATTTGTGCACGTGGTTACTTGGGTACGTGTAATACGTGCGTGCTTGTATGTATGGATGTGTGTGTGTATGTATAGGGTACACGACGAAGAGGACGAATAGTAGACTCCTAAGCGAGTAAAGTATCCGCTTGTTATACTCTTCGTGCATTACCCCTCTTCTTTTACGCATTTCTTTTTTATGCACGTGCGCGCGTCCATCAGCGAGAAACATCGTTTTACGATTTACTTAATAAGCGGATGAACACAGGCAGCAAGACTCGTTTTATACGAAATATAAAATAAAAAAAATAAAAAAAAAGGAATCGTTGCAACACGTATTTTCGTGTCTCGTTCGAGATGAGATTAATCAAAAATGTTCGGAATTGTTTAAAAAAAAAAAGAAAAAGAAAGAATAAAAATAGCAAATAATATGGTTACCGTAAGATAGAATACTCTACACATCGTCGGAAGGGTTTATCAAGGTTAAGTTTGACGTGTATCATCGATATTCATCGAATATAATATTATTATGATTTTTTAAGTGTATTTTTCTTTATTATTATTATTATTAATTATATCAATTATTTCTAGTGAATATTTTGGTAGTCAAAAATTAGTAACTTATTGTGGGTGGGGATGTGTTCTATGCTTGAAAGAGGAATAGTTGTGAACGATGACGGCCTATAAAATATAACAAAACACCAAACATCCCATTTTTTTTCATTCATTATACTTTATTATCTTAATTAATATATTTATAATTATATATCTATCACTAACAATCAAGTTATCGATCACCAAGGGTTGAAAATGATTAAAGTACTAATATCGTTATTAAAAAATGGGGATTGGTTGTAGAAGGGTGAAAATTTAAGGTTGTATGTATTTTTTAATGGCAAATCATAAAAAAATAAATATAAAAAAAATTTTGGGGTAGATCACCCTTATCATTTAGGGATATAAAAAATATAAGAAAACCTACTCTCATATTTACCGAATATACACACAAAATTTCATAAAAATCGGTCAAGTCGTTTCAAAGGAGTTTGATTACTAACACTGTCACACGAGAATTTGATATATTAGAAAGAAGAAGATTACTATTACTTTCATTTGATGTTGCAACAAAATACATACTGAAAACATTCGAAACGTTTTAATAACCTGTGTTTGTGTGTGTGTGTGTGTGTGTTTATTTGGTACACTCTCTTATATATGAGTTTTTGTCTCTGCGAATATATCAATGTATTTTTTTATTTATCGGTTCACGGATTACTAACGTCATGATAAAAAAGTATACGAACTAAAAAGTGACATTTCTATTGTTAAATTCGTCGTCGTCCTAAAAATATCATCAACTTTACCTTTTTGTCCTTTCTAACGATCAGAATTGTGTTTCGATATTGAAAAAAAAAAAAAAAGAAAAAAACTTATATGCTTGTATGCACACGTCTCTCTGTATGCAAACAACGTTCGGTTCAAGTTCACGTAGTTTTTTTTTTTTTTCTAACGATTTCACGTAAAACTATTTTTATCTAAAAAAAAACCAGACCAAAAATCTTTACGTTCAACAACTTGAGATTATTGCGTTTAAATTGAGATAATGAAAAAGATTAATCATCAAAAAAAAAAGAAAAAAAAAGCATAGAATAGAAGAAATTTGAATCAAACGAATCGATTCAAATTCCAAGATGATCACAATATAATAAAAGTAGCGCGTGTGAAACTTTCCAGACACAATTAGATTCTTCTTTTTATTCTTCTCTCTCTCTCTCATTCATTGGTCGAAAGAGAAAGTTGAAATAAATTTCAAATAATGCGTTTTAATAATACTAACAGATAACTAGAAAATAATCTGAAGAAATATAATAATGAATAGGTAAAAAACAAAAAAAAAAACAAAATGATGAATCTCGTGAAAAATTAATTTGGATTATTACAGCGACAAGTATTTGCTATCAGAAACATTCACTATTATATATTGTATATATATATATAGTATATCAGTTCTGTGTATGTGGGTATATCACAGAAAATGGAAGTCGCGACGTCTCGACGCTCGGCGTCGTCAACAAATAATATTTCGTCTATCATATCTATATACATATATATGTACACACACATACATACATTCGCAGAGACAAACACATAGATAACATTAAAATAATATATCTAATTTTAAATATATGAGTTATACTTTGTATTAATTCTTTAACCTTTAGTATGAACTGATTATTAATAAATAAATATAAAATAAATAATAATAAAATGTATACATATATATATATATATATATATATATATAAAAGAAAAAAAACATTAACAAAGAAATACTATATTTATACATATATATCTATATAAATGTAATATAAAAATAATATGCCTAATTTTAGTAATACGTGTTAGTTAACCTTTGTTACTAAAGCCTTTAAATAAGATTGACTATAAAAAAAAAAATAAAAAAAAATATCTTATACATATATATATATATATATATATACCTTTTGATTATGTACCTCAACATCCTAGTTATTCTACACAAGTACTCACAATTATACGAATACATGTACTAAAATAATACACATATGTACATATACAAAAATATGTGTTCATATATGTTTTTGATACTAATACAATATATATATATTGTGTAGATGTATATGTGCATGTATTATGTGTTAGTTGCTTTCTTTCGTCTGGAAAACGCATCGCGTTACGCGTTTGTAACGCGCTCGAACGTAACGCGCGCTCATAAAGAGAGGCAGCAGCAGGCGCCTTTCGCAACGCCTCGGCTCATCGTCGATCCTACGGTTTCACTTTGATGCCAAGCGGATAAAACTGTGTCGGAAGGTTACGTGACTCCATCTAAACATTCTTCGTTCAATCTCAAAGCAACCGTCTTAATAACGAACAAATGCGTATTAACCCTTTTCAACTGCTGGCGTTTATATTCCTAACCGAGTGAACAACTGAGCATATACATATACACACATGTATGTATATATATATATATATATATATACATACATAGATAGATATGTTCGCGTGTCGTGTAAAAGGAACGAATCTATTAGACTAGAACGTTCATTAGAATACATTTTTTTTTCTTTCTCTCTCTATCCGATTGATTCAATATACTTCCTGTTAGCTGAAGAGCTTTTTTTAAAAAAAAAAAAAAAAAAAAAAGAACAAATTTAATCGAAAAATTAATACGCGCAAAATTCATTAGAATCACGTCATTAGAGCAATGGTTTTTAAAGTGGGGACCCACCCCCCTAAAGGGGTTGTGAAAATATTTCAATAATTGCACCACTAAATTTCCTACTATGAATAACGACACATATGTATTGTAATGAAATGGTGTGTCAAAGAACTTATATCAATACGAAAGAAAAAAAATGAACCACCACAATGTGGTTTTCATATGTTTCGTTTTTTACAAATCGCTAAAATAATAGTAGCGATAGTAGGAAATTTGTCAATTAGAAAAAGGAAAATATAGAGCAAAGGAAAAATTTCAAAACAAAAAAATGTTTAAAAGAACTAATGCATTTATATTAACCGTTGTTATGACCTTGTAAACGGAATTTTATGCAGATGTTGATATGACGTCACTCGTGACATCGCGCTTTTCAACAATAATAAAAACAAAAGGAAAAATAAAAAAAAAAGAGGGAAATAAAAAGTAAAACAAAAGATTCAAAGACTTACCTCGATAAGGTGCCCTTGAGCAAAGGATTCCTGTCGTCATAATATCCGCCGGACGAAGTCATTTTCAAGTAATCCAAGGTACGGGCACGTGGCACTCGACACTGACACTACGGCACTGCATCACTGTGTCGCGTGATCCGTTAGCCTAGCTTTCCATTCACCGCAGCAGCAACAACAGCAGCAGCAACGACGATAACGACAACGACAACGACGACGACGACGACGACAATRAGGAGGATAAGAAGGAGGAGGAGGAGGACGTTCGAACGTATCCGCGACGACGCATCGTCGCCAAATTAATCGAAACGGGCCGCGTATGTCCTAAAAGACGACGATGATGCTTTTAGTCCGCTTCGTCCTCGTCAAAAAGTCACAACTGGGTGAGGGAAGGGGGATGGGGGTTGGGAGGGGGAGGGGATATCAACTTATTACCGAAACAAATCCAATTGATCCTTGTTCAATTTTTGTTCCTTCCTCTTATAAACACTATTTGATACTTCGTCTAACTTGTTGCCCGTTGCTGCTTTTAAACACGACGATTATTTATACTTTTCTTGTCTCTGACGTCACAAGTACACCATTATTGGCTATAAAGTCTATCATAGTTTGATTGTTGTTGTTGTTGTTGTTGTTATATTATTTAATTATTGTCATCAAACATTGTATATAGGAACACACAAAAAAAGGGAGCAGTTAGCTCGTTTAGAGTAATCATTCACCACACTCACTTAATTCAAGTTATAATAATCACTTAGTTAGAAGCAGAACACAACTTTCGGCGTACGAGGAAGATATATGTACAAGTCTTCTTCTTCTTCTTCTTCTCCTTCTTCTTTCTTTTTTCTTTCTTTATTTCTTATACATACCACAAGGTCCGTTCTAGATGCTCGATCACTTTCACGATTTAAAACCAAATTATTTTGTTCTTTTCTGGAACGAGGTAATCACCGGATTGCCGCTTCGTAGATCCCAATACTCCGTTCACGTTGGTGGCACCGTTCTCGCTCCGCAAACGTTAAAGACCTGCATCATGATGATACGCTTGGATTATTCGATTATCTATCTACCTACCTAGCTACCTAGCTACCTACCTAACTACCTATATATCTACATAGGTATTTATCTATTTATCTATCTATATCTATGAGTCATTCTTGTGCATCGGTAAGTTCATTGAACGAGCGTTACGTTTTGTAAAAATGAAGAAAGAAAAAAATTAATTCCGTTAAGTGATACAAGGATACTTTCAATTGAAATTGAAATACAAGCGAGAAAACGTTCGTTATTGAATTCTTGTTGAATTTGCCGCCATCATTGATTTTCTACTGCGCGCGATTTACCCGGGAAAATTGACACATTTGAAAATTGATCTAGACGAAAAATTAATTTCTATAATTGTTAAGTGTACGATCGTGCGTTGGTTTTCACTCACGTACTGTGCATGTTATCATCGTGCACGCTCTTTCTCACTCTGCACGAAAAAGAAATGATCCAAGAAAAAACACACCCCCAATTATGTTTAACTAAAGATATATTTAATATTTGTTATACAGCAGATCAGAGTGTGGTGCTCGGACCCTGTATCACTATCTGCCCTAATTTCCTTACTTCCTACTAGTAGTAACCACTGATTTATACTAATTAGTTACTGAAATGTTTAATGCGTTCTACGTAACTGATAATGTGCGGATCAAGTGAATATAATTCCGCCGAATATAGATCGAACTAATTACTAAAATTGCTGGACTAACTTGCTCAATCAACTGAATTACCTGGATCAACTAAATCAACTGAACTAAGTTGCAATAGTCTTTCCCTGTTATTTATAATACTTTTCTCACTTAAGATTACCGTTGTGCCCTTAGGCTGAGAGTAGTGGACGAAAGATATCCCATTGTAAACTAAGTAAATATAATGAATTCTACCTTGGACCCTTATGATGGGAGTTACCGACGAAAGGTATCCTCCCCATGAGTAAATATAATACATTTTTCCTGTGAAAAATGTCAGTATCTTTGGGCTCATCTGTTACTCAAATATCCCTATCATCGACTAAACCCGATAAGAAAATTTCTATCGTACCCAAATTCCTCCGGATGCCTAGCAAAGGACGTAACAACAAACATGATAAGACTATTTCTATCGTAACCGATATTTTTCAATGTTCCAACGAAAATACGGAACAATAATTACCGGTCTAACATTGAATAATAATATCTAATAAAGACTTTGTATTTGTATTTTTCTTATATTGCTTTTTATCTTGTTGCAATTAACTGGACTCGTTTAAAATATTTTCAAGGATCAATTCGAAGGTTCGTAAAGACTTACTACGTAAAACCAGGAAAACTCGAATATTTCAAGGATACAATTACTGGAAAATATGCATGTTTCTTTTTCAGAGGAACAACACGACAGACAATATGTCGGACAACTCGATTTAATTGTTCAGTTGACAGCTCAAATCCTGAACAAGGGCAACTCGTATTCTTCTAATATATGTACCTACACTTCATAGAATTACCAGAAAGAACATCGAAACGAATGGAAAAAAAATATGAGGAATAAAAATAGAAATAAAGACTAGCAAGGTGGGTGGTGGGGAGCGGTGGGGAGGGGGATGTGAGGAGGGAGGGGAGGGGAGGGGAGGGGGTGGTCTACCAGTAATTTATTATACGAATGCGCATAAGGAATATTATCAGGTAGATGCGCGCGAAATCGTCCGTTACAACGGTATGTCGTAAGCCGTAATTATTCCTTTCTCCTGGGTTTCAAGAGACTCGTCTATGCACTTTCACCGCGTCTTTTACCTCCCTGAATCGGATATCTGGATTTCAAGGAAGATACGTTTCGTTTCTCATTATTTCGAAGGTTATTACGGCGTTAGAATATTAATATTAATAATATTAATAATAATAATAATAATAATAATAATAGAAATTAGAAAAAGCTAAGAAACCTTAAAGTTACTCAAATTCGAATATAATTTGTCATCAAGTGTGACTAATGTAATAAATCTGTTAATCAAAGTTTTCGTAATTAGAATAACAAATGATCTTGTAATAAATGCTAAAGGTGTTCTATTAAAAATACATTTCCTAATATCAAATAATTTATGTTAACAAATATTCAACAGAGGTACATAATTATGCAAAAAAAAAAGAAAAAAAAGAAAAAAGAATCAAATCTAATTTATTCCAATAAACTAATAATAAAAATAAAGCTACATTATACTATGAAACAATTACACAATATAAGAATCGATAGACAAAGTGGAAAGTGTAAGAGACCGACTATCGAAGAGAAACACACACACACACATACAGTAGACACCAAACAAACGCGCACACAAATAATATACATATATATATACACAAATAATATTCTTTCTCTTGATCACCCGTCTCTATTTCTCCATTGCTCTTTCTGTTTCTTTCAAAGTCGCTGACATTTTCGAAGACAATATACTATTATGATTACTTTGATACTAGTAGCGCTTGAAACGTGCAGCAATGAAACGATATTTTTGCGTATTATCGAAACTAAAGGATTATTTAGAAATTTGTGAAAAGTTTTGACTAAAGTTCGGTAGTAAATTGTTTGTTTGTCTGACACCGTGATAACAACATTTGTCGAAAGAGGGAGAGAAAGAGAAAGAGAGAGAGAGAGAGAGAGAGTAAGAGGCTGACTCTCTACCTTCCGGATTTTATATCGCGTACGAAGGAAATTCCGGCACGAAACGAAACGACACGGCACAGCACGAAAGCAAGCAACCAAGCAACCAAGCAAGCACTCCGAGAGACTTTTGCGCTCTCGGCTTCGACCGAGCACAAGAGTCGACCGAGTAAAAGCGTTACGCGATTCAAGGACGTCGTACTACACCGAGAGCCTGACACACACCGATCGTATCTCGAGGAGGTAAAGCTGAGGATCGTTCGTTTCTACTACTATCTATTTCTTTTTCTCTTTATCATTTTTTTTTTTCTTTTGCCTCTTTCCCTTTCTCCAATCTCCCCCTTTTTTCTCTCTCCTCCTCCTCCTTCTCCTTCTCGCTCTTTCTCTCCGTCATTTTGAAACATTTGGTGAATTCAGATTGGTGATATAAAAAAAAAAAAGTGGACGGTATTAAAAAAAAAAAAAAAAA